CCCCTTCCCCTCCTCTTCCACCTCCCCCCCCCCAAGAGATCGGTGAGGTTACTGAGTATACTGAGTTCACTGAGTATACTGAGTTCACTGAGTATACTGAGTTCACTGAGTATACTGAGTTTACTGAGTTTACTGAATTTACTGAGTTCACTGTGCATACGCCTCATCTGGACAAGGCCCCAAATTCCCTGAGTTAAACGAGGACAGCCTCACCCCGTACACCGTGAGCTGAGTGAGTAGTCAGCGCACTCTAACCTGAGTTTACTGAGGACAGCCTCATCCCATAGCCCCTGAGTTCAGTGAACAGCAACCAGAGACCCTTACCTTGTCCACTGGTCCTGAAGTGGCTGAGCAAAGCGCCAATCAACGAATGGACGAGGACGCCAACGCAGCCAGAGCTTGACGCCAATGCGATCAACAAACTCCTGACACTTTGCTGATGCCAGAACTAGAACTGCCCAGGTCTCTTCTGTTGCACTGGAGCTATAGCCACATATAGCAAGTAAACAGTTGTCTTCCTTCTTATGTTACATACACTGCATTTATTTTTGTCTCCCCCTCGCAGCCAGATAACGCAGTCCAATCAGCGTCGAACGCTGAAGGCGACCTACTGCTAGGCTCTGCAAATTGCGACCAAGGTGACCCAACTGATCGACATCCGGGAGGGAAATGGACCCGAGTTTGTGCAGAATCGAACCCCTATGTAACTGATTTTTGCTTTTGGGGGGGGGAGGGGGGGGAAGGGGGAGACAAAAATAAAGCGACCAGGAAAAGGGCATCAAAGAATTAAGCTAATAATGCGCCGAGCGAGTCTGCCATGAATTTGGCCAGGATGGTACGGAGACGGGGGAGAAAGAGGACATCGCGAGTACCGCTGAAAGGGGAGGGGGTTCCTATACTGCACATGAAGAAACACACACTAAGACAGGAAAACTTGTCGAGGGCGGCGCCGTTAAATACCGTTGCCGGAAGACGGAGAGCCATCCACCTCAGATGTGGATCTCGATGCGGACCCCAGCTGAGAGCCTTTTCCCTGTTGATGTTTTGTTTGATGTTTTGTTCTCCTCTCCATTATTTCCAGCGCAAGATTTTTTCCGACGTCCGTTTGAAACTTTCCCATCGTGGACTCAAAGAACTCGGCGAGCACCATGTCTTGTGCCTTCTCGTACTCCAAGGCCTGGAGGATCATCTCCAATTTGTCGAAGTCCTTGATGAGCTTCGCCTCGTCCGTTTTCATGTGCTCGTACTCGAGCCAAAGCTCCAGAAACTCCTCCGCGACCGGGCCGCCTCCAAGAACGCCGCACAGTTTGTCCATCGCTTCCTTCTCCATCCTACTCTTGTCCTCCTTGGTGATCCCGCACGCAGGCGTAATGTCACCGACGATCGCTTCTGCGATGTCGTGAACAATGGCCAGCTTGATGCATCGGTCTCTGTCCAGCCCCGCTTCGTCTCCGAGAAGAAGCGACATGATCGACATGCGGTACATGTGATCGGCAATCGACTCGGCACCTACCACCCCAAAGCGGACCCAACCGGTCCTCTTCATTTTCTTCAGATTTTCGAGCAGTGTCAAAAAGTCGATCACTCTTACGCGATCCAGTTTTCTGCGTTCGGATGCCACCGCACCATCGGCGCCATTCTCCGCAGCAGCGTCCATGCTCGGGCTGACACTCTCCTTCTGCGAGTGTGAAGCGCAGACCGCCGATCCGCGCGCACGGGAGGACCTGAAGCACTGACAATTTTCACGAGAACTGTCAGCCATTGCGATGGGACCAAGCACGGACGTTCCCATTCGTTTCCCAGGGGTGGCCACATCTCGGGACAGCTGGTGGGTGAACGCACTTGCAGTGCATCGGTCGGACCGCAGGAGTGATTCTAGTTTATGCTGACTAGCAATTGAGCAAGGAGAAGATTGACATTTCGCCAACGAGGAGCGACTTGAGGAAGAGGAGGGCAAGGACATATGGCATAGAGGAGGCTGTGGAGCGGCGGAGGGGCACCCCGGGAGACCCTTCAGCGCAGCAAACACCCATGACCCCGCCACCGTGTTGCTTGTCGAGAATGGTAGCTCCCTCTGTATGCATCCACCCGCAACGTGTGTGACACTTTGGCTGTGCATTTTTTCAACTGCCAAGGATGCAAAACAAGGAGAGCCCTGGGAAAGAGTAGAGTAGGCGATC